GCCCCGCGAGGAACTCACCGTCCGAGCGCTGCGCGTGCGCGCTGTCCTCCCACTTCGGAGGGGGGCTGCGGATGGCGGCGGACGGGAGGGCCGCGGTGAGGGTGGGGTCGACCGCCTGGGAGGCTGGGGCCGCTTCTCTGCGGGCTGACGCAACCGTGAAACTGGACGCGTCTCTGGGGGTGACGTATGAAGGTTCCACACTGGGGATGGGACTGAAGCCCAGGGTGGGACCGAAGCCTGGGGCTGGAGCTGGGGGCTTCGTCGTCACTCGGTCAAGCTCCCCCTGAAAGAGGGGAAAGAAAGGCGCGGCATTAGTGGGGCAGAGGGAAAACAGCCCCAGCCCTCTTTATGCGGGACGGGGTTTAGGGCAAGAGGAAACTGGGGAAGCCCGGGGATGAAGGGTGATTCCAGGGCATTGGGGCATTATAAGATTATAAGGAACAGTCGGAGAAGGTTGGAGGTAGGCCTTTGATTTCATCTCACCTCTTTTTCAGGTGTCGATTTCCCACAAACTGAGAAAAAAGAAATAAAGTGTCATAAATTTCACTTCCCCTCTCAGCCCTGGCGTCCTGTACTGGGGCTGGCAGTGGGGACTTGTGGGGACACGGCTCACAGCTTATGTGGCCCCAGAGACCAGAGAACTACTGATGCAGCATGACCTCCTCACCAGACACCCAGGGCCATCTCCTGTCCAGAGTCCGCAGCAGCCAACTAAAGGGACATTCCTTCTGGTCCCCCTCCATGCTCAGCCGTCTTACCCACCCAGCCTCCTCCCAGGTCCCACCAGCACCCCTTCCTGCCCAAAGGCCCCGCTCACCGATGGAGTAGAGCTTGGGCTTCCACCGTTGGTAGCGGCACATGAAACCGATGAAGAGGAGGGATAGAAGGCAAAGACCAAGGATGATCACCAGGGGCAACAGCACTGACGTGCCTGGAGACAAAGCAGACGGGGGTCAGAGGAGAGGGACGAAGGGAGACAGCAGGGGTGCGTGGATGGACCGGTGGAGGGGCAGGGATTAGGGAAAGGGCAGGTGAGCTTGGGCTCCAGGTCATTTCTGCTCACCTGGGTCCTGAGGGCTCCTAACGTTTTCAGTTGTGGGTACACACAGCTTTGTGCACTCCGAGTTTTTCTTACAGCTAAAAGAAGAAATGGCACTGGTGAATAGAGGCGCTACCATTGGAGAAACACAGGAAAAAAACTCAGTTGGTTGGAAATTATTTACTTTACAAATATTTTTGCTGTCTCTTATATAATGGAATTTAACCTATCTTGCACAGAACCATTTAATTTTAGAGTTGGAAGGGATCTTGTAAAGGTTGTTTACAGGATAAAAGCAGTCAGGGTCAGGGTAAAAACTGCAGCCCATTCATCGGCTAGCAGTGTGACTCTTAGCAAGCCACATCATCTCTAAGCCTCAGTTTTCCTATCAGTACAATAAGGCTCATACCCACCTCTCAGGATTGAGGATCAAGTAAAACAACTATGCCTGACTTAGTGAGTGCTCAATAAATGGTAGCTGTTATTGAATTATTATTTCGTCATTGTTTTGCTGATGAGAATCCTGTGGCAAAGAGAAGTTAAAAAGCTTTTTCTCAAATGACACTGCTAGGTATAGTGCCTGGCTTTGAGGAGTGTCAAACACAGATGTGAAAAATTTGTAAATACAAGTTGCCAGAGGCAGCCACAGAGCACTCTGCAGAACCAGCATATCTTCCCTGTTGGGAGTTGTCACTGGGCAGTATGAGACCTGCATGGTGGGGCTGGGGAGGGGAGCTGGAAAAAAGTTGAGGTGATTTCTCAGCAGGAATCTGAAATTAGGGACAGACACTTTTGCCCACCTCACAAGTTCATGGTGAAAACCACATGGAATGGGTATTAAAGCTCTTTCAAGAACAGATGAAGCTTAGTGGAAAAAAAATAAAAACTAAATAGCTTTGTGTCGGGCACTTTGTAGGTATTTTTTGTGGTTTTTACAACTTCACCAAATGGGTGTCACTATTCTTGCTTTATAGGTAAGAAAAGTAAGGCTCAGAGATGTTAAGTAACTTGCCCAAGGTCGCACACCGGTAAGTGGCTAGGCTGGGATTTAAACCCAGGTCATTTCAACTCTGAGAGCCCTCAGAGTTTCTTCTTCGCAAACAAGTGTGCAAGAACAGCCTCTGTGGAGCCAGGAGTGAAGAGGCCTGGTCAAAGGTACTGGGGAAGAAATACCATATTGCATCAAACCTGAGATGCCACCAGTCTAAGAGGCACCGTTCTTTACATACCACACACACACACACACACACACACCGCTGCCAGTTAAACCACAATACATCATTAATTGTTGCAGAGTGAAGAGGCCTGGTCAAAGGGACTGGGGAAGAAATACCATATTGCATCAAACCTGAGATGCCACCAGTCTAAGAGGCACCGTTCTTTACATACCACACACACACACACACACACACCGCTGCCAGTTAAACCACAATACATCATTAATTGTTGCAAGATGCAGTCTGATTTCAGAAACGTAAAAGTGTGTTTCTTAGAATCAATGAACTATAGTAGACCCTGTAGCCCAAGAGTCTGAAGATCTAAGTTAGAAGGACTACAAGTCATTGGGGTACGCACTTCTATCCCCAAAGACTTCTTAAGATGTCAGGAACAAGTTGGGGTAAGGCAGAAGGACTGTCTGGTGTCTTGATGAAGTGTCTGCTACTCAGACAGCCAGCAAGAGCCTGAGCACTCTGGGGTGTCTCCCTCAACTGCTAGTGGCTCTCACCTACAGCCGCCCATCCCACCCGATGCCCCCCATCCAGTGCCCTACAGCTGGCAGAGGTACTCACTTACTACAGGAGACACACTCATTTTCTCTTAGAAAGAACCCTGCATGGCAGGTGCACACGGTGTTCTGTCTCTCCTGGCCTGTGGGGAAAAGTGCAGCACAGCTAAAGGAGGGGCACCCTGCACCTCAGGACAGGAGGAAGTGAGGGGCAGGGCGGAGGCAGCCCGAGGAGCTGGTCCTCAGACCCATGGACTCCGAGAGTGGGAAGGAAAGGGAGCACTGCCTCATGGGGCGGGGCACACAAAGGCAGGGACCTTCCTCCTGAGAGATGCCCAACCGACCGGCCACTGGGGTGGGGAGAGGGCTCGGGGTCAGGAGAGGCGCCCTCACAGGCGAGATGCACGGTGCCGTTGAGGCAGAGACTGCAGTTCTTGCACTCGAAAAGGCTGTTGTTATTAAAATAACGCCGGTACTGGTTCTTCCTGCAGCCACACACAATGTCCTGGTCCACTGTGCAGGGAGAAAGTTCCAACTGGTGCAGTTCTAGGGAGATGAGGAGATGGGGTATGAGTCCCGTCCCTCCTTTTCCATAGTAACTCTATTTACCCTTTCCCTTGACCTTGGTGTTAGAGCACTGCACTCTAACACTCTAACCAGCTGAGCTACCAGGCCAGCCCCACATCCCCTTCTTGACACCCCTCCCCGCTTGTGTGTCTGTCTCTGTAACACACGCACACACCCATGCACACTGTCCCACATGGGCACATGCATTCCTGCCCACGTGGACAGGCACACACACACACCCCTTAAGACCCACCTGACTCTCCAGAGCACGCACACTTTTTAGATCCCTCGCCCTCGCCCGAGGCCCACCTGTTCGGCATTTGGAGCAGGTGAGGCAGTTTCTGAGGTGGTTCTCTGAAGCAGTAAAGGTGCCAATCTCACACTCCCTGCAGTCCGTGTCCAGCCCCTGACCTGGACAGTCACTGTACAAGTAGGTTCCTGTGAACAGGGTGTCAGGGTTAGACTGCAACTGAGAGCTCAAGCAAGGAGCCCCGTGCTAGGAAGAACAGCCAGGGCCACTTCCCAGAAGTCTCTGGGAGAGGGAAGGAGGGAGAAAATCCCAGCCCAGGAGAGACAGCAAAGCTAGGGAACCTGGGAGCAGGGACCCCAGGCTCTAAAATATCTGGAACAGGCAAAGGAAAGAGCAGGGCCACACAGCCAAGGGGACTCACCGTTACCACTGTCTCCTACCTTTGTGGCACTTGGTACAGCAAATGGAACTATTTCCAGGGTGCTTATATTTTCCTTGAGGACACTGACTATCTCTCTTCTCCCGGTCCCTGAGGTGAGGGACCAGTCCAATAACCCCTGAAGGGTATATTCCCACCAACAGAGCCAGGAGCACCTGGGGAAGAATCAGACAGAGGAGACATCATCGGGACAGGTAGGGGTGGGAGTCTTAGAGGCAGCAGATCTAAAACTTTCCCAGCTCAAGCCCTTCCTCAGTGAAACATTCTCCCCAGGTCTCCCCCACAAAGTTTAGAGTTCCTCCTTCATTTTTTTTTTTTTGTTGTTGTTGTTAGCAGCCGGCTGGTACAGGGATCTGAACCTGTGACCTTCGTGCTTACCAGCACCATGCTCTCCCAAGTGAGCTAACCATAGAGTTCTTCCTTGAAATTTAGACATTTGGCACCATGCAATCTAGTGCTTAATTTTTTCCAGTTGTCCTGTTTGCTAATTTTTGTCCTGTTGACTCAAGGCTAGTAGTAGTCGTCCCTGGGCCCAGACTGTATTTTATCCTTATTCTGAGTTCCCCACAGCAGCAAACAATGCTGGATGGATGTTCAAGGAATGTTTATTTGATTGGAAACTAGCAGCTTACTTCAATTATGGCCCTTTCTTCCAACAAGCAGCCCTAAAGATTGGGGTGATCCTCTTGCATCTGAGTGCTGGGTTCATGGTGTGTTTGCTTCGTGAACATTCACAAGGGTGAGCAACTAGGATCTGTGCACTTTCCCGGATTATGTTATATTACAAAAGTCTTTACAAAAAATCAGATTGGAGTGGAAGCAAGTATGTGCTTGCAGGCACCATGCTGGGGAGGGGGCAGAAGCAAAAGGAAGGGTTTCTTTGTTCACTTAAACCTTACTCAGTACCCTGCCCTCACACTCCATGTCCCATCCCCTTCCACCACTAAATTCACACAAACACCCAGGCAAGGACAAACAAGGAGGGCAGTAAAAGGGGAAAGGCAAAGGTCACAGATGGGGTTGGCAGGAGTAGGCCAAGGCATGTAGGTTACACACTACTAGAGCTGGCCGGAGGCTGGTGATCCGGCTCAAATGACCATCAAGTCAGGAGTTGGGTGTGCCAAAGAGTCCCAAAGCCTTTTGCACACCAGGGCATTCTGTTAGGCATCTTTTACAACCTCAGACCGAGCCCACAGCGGCTGAATGGTTTGCCCTGTTCTGGCTCAGCACTGGGAAAGCAAAGCCAGGAGTCAGTACTTAGCTCCAAATCAAACTTTGCTCTTTCATCTCTACCAGCCTCATTTCTGGTTTTCCCAGGGCCTTGAATTTTTTTTTTTTTTTTTTTTTTTTCCGTTTTAAGAGGCACTTTCTGTAAAGATAAGAGAATGTCCTCAAAGTATGTCAAACATTGGGGAGCAAGAGACTAATCAAATCACGGAAACTCCAGTACAGGAAAGAAAGGCCTGGCAGCCCACAGCCACCCAGCCTCGAGAGCTCCACATTTCAGAGCAGGCAGGCAGGCCACACCCTGAGTCACTCGGTGGGAGATGCTGCAGCTGTGGCTGCGAGGCCCGGAAGACGAGCCTCAGCCCCAGCATGGGAAGCTGCACACAGAAACACGGTGCTCCCACACTCAGGGGCAGCAGCCTTGGCCAGTCTGCTCCAGCCAGCACTGCGCCATCTCTCCTGGGAGCAGGACTGGGGCTTCCAGGGCAACAGGAAGGGTTTGGGGTGGTTATGGGAGGAACTTCCCAATCCTGAAAGTGTGGTTCCTTTCCCCGAAGGTGAAGAGCTTGGAGCACCTAAGGTCACTGGCACTTTGGATCCCATCCAAGAGGCTTGGAGCAAAGTCAACAGGCAGAGACAGAGTCAGGAAAAAGAAATGGGGGGCAAGTGGGCAGAGGGAACTTTCCAGGCGCCGGTGAGAGATGACCCTTCCTGGAGGGAGGGAGGGAGAGAGGATTTTTTAGGCCACGTGTTCCCTTCCCTCTCCAGCACTTTGGGGGTTAAGTCAGATCCGGGAAAGGGAAATCTTTTCCCAGCAGCTCCGCCCTGTGACTCAGGCCGGAGGGAGGGAGATCTAGGGGAGGGGAAAGGGAACTAGCAGCTTCCCTAGCTCCTCCAGGGTCATGAGTCAGCAGAAAAACAGAAGGGCCCAGCCAGCAAGGGACACCCCAGCTGACCCCTTCCTCCTACGGTCCAATCTCTGTCTCCCATCCCCACTCAGAGCCCTTTTCCACCCTGTCCCCTTAAAAGAGAAAGGCAGCAGCTCCCTGTCCCACTTGGCCCCCTTATTTCGGGAAATGCCTCCCTGTCCCCGTTCCATGCCATCCCAAAGGGAAGTCTTCTTCAGCCCATCAGGTCAGTACCCACCCCTCCCCAAGGGCCACTCGGCTCCTCCCCACCCCTCAGCATCCTTCCTTTAGAGTAAGTCCCGCCCCAGTTCCTGCCTCTGGTTCAACAAGCCTCCCAGAGCCAAACCCATTCCCTGGGCCCTCACGCTAGCCCCTGGACACTCCCCTGTTCCAGAAGGAAGCAAACCAAGGCTGCCCTCCCACCCCGGGTTCACTGTATTCCCACAGCCTGGCTGGTTCTGGCCAGTTGTGTTGGGTTTGGGGGCCTCCCTGGGGTCCCCAGACAATCCTTGGGAAATAAGGCCAGTTCTGAGTCTCCACAGCCCCTCCCCCAAAGCCACTGGCAGCACTGGAAAAACTCCAGAGACCTGAACACCCACTTCCAGGAATGAGGGAGCAGGCAAGAAGGGACGCTCGTCACGGCCCCCAGTGGTGCTCCAGACCAGCCCTTTCTGACCCTAGGAGCCAGGGCCTTTGGGCTCCCCGCCAGTGGGCACCATTTGTTGGCACCAGCTGGCCCATGAGTCCTGTCCTTAGCAGTTGGATTAGGCAACAAAACAGCAGACACAGGAGGTGAGCTCTGAGGACCCAGACCCCAGCCTGAGTGCCTGTTGCCTGGAGCAGAGGAAGGGCAGGAAGCTGGTGGGTGTCTGTGGAGAGACAGTTGAGGGGGTGGCCCAGCACCCCTCCAACTCCCCAACAACTTCCGCCTGGGGAGGCTTTAAAGTGTGATTTCCTGTGCTGGGGCTGCAAGTGCAGCAGAGAAGCTGAGATCGACCCTGTGGTCTCACCCTGACCCAGCCACCTCTCAGGGACCCACTGAGCTGTTCCCTTCCCCCGCATTAATGGGTTCATTACATTAAAACGTGTTAGTTCATTTAATGTCAAGATCTTGAGAGGGGAGAGCTCATGGCAGCTTTTGCTACGAGGGCCCGGCAGAGATCCCACCTACCTCCATCAATGACGTGCGTTTCCCCCACACAAGCCCATCAGACGCTCCGCCCCTGTGAACTTGAGTAACATGAATTGACCGTATCTACTTTGGCTGTTATCATAATATGGTTATTTGGGGTGAGTAGATATGATCTCCCCAAATAAACCATAAACCCTATGAGATGAGAGATCAGAGAACATCTTGGTCAGACAGCACCTTGCCCTCCTGGGCGTCCTCCAGCACTACAGAACTGCAGGAGGCCATGAACATGGACTGATCAGTCTGGACCGTCTTCCACTCCAGTTGAAGCCAGTGCTTCCCCAAGAGGGAGGTGGGGAAACAGCACCCACCCCTGTACCCCGTAGGAATATATTTATCTCCAGGGGAGAGTTTTCACACTATGCCTCCACCTCCGCACACACCTCTACTGAAGATTCTGACATGTGCTCCTGTCCTCTTGAGAACCACCTATGAGTGAATGTAGCATTTATGAATGACAAAGGCAGAAAAAAGATTGAGGGGCTGGCCCGGTGGCGCACTGCTACAGTGCGCCGCTTGGGAGCGCAGCAGGCGCTCCCGCCGAGGGTTCGGATCCCACATACAGACCGGTTCCCGCTCACTGGCTGAGCGAGGCGTGGGAGCAACACCGAGGGCTGCGATCCCGTTCTACGGGCGCAACACTGAGGGTTGCGATCCATTGCCGGACACGAAAAAAGACAAAAAGGAAAAAAAAAAAGATTGAGACCCTGTGCTCTAGCTAGTTAGATACACACTCACACTTGGCTATTCCCCTTGACCTCTAACATGCCCCAGACTGAATTCATCAGTCTCCTCGCCTAGACAAATGTCACACCACCAACTTCTCAACACCAATGACGCCAAGACCTTTGCTGCCCCTCTCTCCTCAGGGCCCTGTCGCTACCCTGATGCCATCCATCCATGAAGTCAGTTCCCCTTGCCAATCCTTCCTCTGTGATCTCAGTCCTGCCCATGCCTCTGGGTTGCCTCACACCTGGATAATTGCAACTGTCTTCCAGCCATGGCCTGGCCACAGCCTCCTTCCTGCTCCGATCCAGCCTACACACTTTCTTATCTGCGTTCAGGCTTCGACTTGCACACAGGTGTGTGAATCTTCCTCTCCATCTCCCGAGCCTGACTTCAAACATCATTTCCACGGGACACTCCTTCCCTGAATGCCCACTTACAGAGATATCTCACTTCTATTTTGAGCACAGTCCAGAACAGAGTGGAATCTCAGAGAATGGTTTCTGGATGGATGGACGGATTCCTCCACCTGGGACCGTATTCAACATTCTTTCTTCAGCCCCTGCCTACTCACTCCAACTTTCCCATCCTCATTTCTTAGTGTTCCTCAACGTGGTCCTTCCACTCCAGCCAAGGTGCTCAGCTTTCTGCCACCACCACCCCTCAACACAAAATCCCATCTCTCCTTTCCTCTACTCTCAAACTCAAAAGCTCTCCTGCAAACCAGTCTCCTGCCTCCTCTGTCTCCCTCCTTTCCAGCCACCCTGCCAGGTAGAGACTTCAGATGTCAGCTCCAAATCCACTTTTCTATGAGACTTATCCCTCCCTCATCCCATCTGATCAATCCTTTATTCTTTAACTCATTCAACAAAAAGTTAAGGGGCACAGTCTACATGCCAGGTTCTGTGTGGGTGCAGGGATGCCAGATGAATAATGCATGGCTCATGCTCTTACAAACTCTCAGTGGGCCAAAGACAGTCAATTATAGGCCCTAATATCCATGTAGGGAGTACTACAGGTGCATGGCGCAGGACACCTGAATCAGCATGGGGAAGCTTCTGGACTTCCTGGAGCTGAGTGCTGGAGCTGAGATTCTGCTAAGTGAGAAATGGCAGCTGGACTAAGTGAGCTGCTAAGCTGCTAAGTGAGCTGGCAGCTCATCCCCCCACCCAGTTCTGCCTCCCATCAGTGCTCCAGGACTGATCACAATGCATTTGTGGGTATTTGGGATATTTTCCTCTGGATTGTTCTAAAATCATTTTTCACTGCAAACTGTCTTGACTCTTAGACTGTAAGCTCTTTGAGAGCAATAAAATCCTATTTGCTTTGTCACACTCATTCCCTACTCCCCCACCAACACACACACACACACAAAGCATCTTCAAAAAGTTCATGAAAAGATTCATATTATCTTTTAATACTATTTTTCCACAAACTTTTCAAAGTTCCCTATACAAACTGCACACTCTGCATTGCCCACTGAATGTAAGAAACTGGAAGGCTCAGGGACAGCCTTGTCCAGACCTTGCGTGCCTCCCCTTCCCCTACAGCTCCAGGCTAGGCTTGTGTCCATAGGAGTCTTTTCCCCACCTGGGCTGAAGCAGCCCCAGTCCCCAGGCACTTTGCTTTATCTGTTCAGGCTACTTTTACCCTGTTCTCCAAACACAGGTAGCCACCCAGTAATTACTACTAATGACAACAGAAAAGCTAAATGTTTATTGAGTGCTTTCCATCTGCTATGTCCTATTCCCCTACTAGACCATAAACTCCGTGACAGCAGAGGTTTTGTTCAATGCTGTAATCCCAGCACCTAACAGTGTTCTAGCACAAGACTAGGCACTTAATAAATTGAATAAATACTTAACATGTATCAATTTACTTAACCTTCAAAACAACATTATGAGGTAGTGACTATTCAGTCCATCGTAGAAGTGAAGACACTAAGGCATGGAAGGGTTATATGACCTGCTCAAGTTCGTAATAGCTATTATGTGAGGGAGCCAGGTTTGAATCCAGATGATCAGCCCCCAAAGAGAGAACAGGACAGGGCAGCTGGTTGGTGAAGTAAGGACAGTCTTGAGAAGGGAAGAGAGGTTGGGACTGGGAGACAGGGGGTGGAGAGTGAGACCACGACAGAGGCACTGCTTGGTACGAGGCTCTGGAAGTGCAGGGCTGGGGCAGAGGCGGGGGCACTAGAGAGAAAGAGCTTCAAAAGGGAGGCCCTGAGAAGTCTGAGGAGGCTTCTGGGGAGACTGCTGGAAAGAAAGCAGTGATGGGGAGAGAAAGAGTGTGAGCCGGGGGAGGGCAGGGACCCAGAAGGAGCAAAGCACTGGCCAGCTAGATGGGCTCGCGGTATCTCATCAGGCCCATTCCAGGAGAGACGGGCAAGATCGAGGGTGGACTGAGACAAGGCTGAGGCCCGAGAAAGGAACACTTTCCAGTGACGAAAACAACCTTCCACCAACTTCCTCAAACTGAACTGAGGAATAAGAAAGCAAGGGATGGTTGTTTAGGTCTGTGGGGAGGGGGCTGGAGGACAGGCACAGGGACACTGACCAAATGCAGGTGGTGCCAGAGGCAGAAGGGTGAACAACGACCCCGATCTCTGGTGGGTGGCCTGGACCTGGCAAGGGCACTGGGGACACCCCTATCCAGTTTCCCACTCCACTCCCAAACAGCCCCCGCCATGGAGCATTCCCGAACCTACCCCACCAACCCATCCTCTCTCCTGGACTCAGTTTCCCCACTGCACCAGCCACGCAACTCCTGCCCTCTACCCTGGTTTGCTCAGCCGGATTCCGCAGGCAGTCTCGCCTGCCCACAGCCCAACATGCCCCCAGGCCAGCCAGCTGACCAGAGGACAGAATTCTGAAAAGGACTGGGAATTCCCTCTCCCACTCCTTTCCCTGCTAAGTCTGCGCCACATTCCCGGACACCGCAGTTTGACGGAGCCAGGGCTTCCTTTTACTCTCTCCCTTTCGAACTTCTCCCTTTCCCCTGCCTCAGAGCAGCCGCCTTCTCCAGGGGGCAGATGAGTGGGCTACCTGGACTGGCAGTGGTTGAGGCTAGGCCATGCAGACTCGAGGCTGGGGCCAGGGCCAGGCCTAGGCAGGAAAGACTCAGCCCCCTCCTAGTGAGGACCCACTCCTGCCAGGTGGCATCTCACCCAGCAGCCCACTCTTCCCTTTGTCCCCGGGCTCACCAGTGGCAGCAGCAGGTCAGGCACTGTGGGGAGGCCCATGTCCGGCCAGCAGTGGCCTCTCACTCCCCCATTGGGGCTCAAGGCAGCGGCAGCAGCAGCCGCGGCAGCAGCAGTGGTGGCAGCAGTGGGGGCCCGGGAGGCACAGTCTGTCCAGGAGGTCCCAGGTGTAGCCTGGGCTTCGGGTTGAGGGGTTGAGGATTGAGATGTGGGAGTGGAAATCACAGCCTGGTCCCAGGGACTTTGAACCCCAAAGGCCAGAACTGAAGCCTTAGTCTGGAGAAAATTAAAGCAGGGAGGAGGAGAGAGGAGGTGGGAGGGGAAGGG